ACTACTACTGCTGCTACAACGACTACTACTGATAGTAATAACAAGACAAAGAACATATCAATACTAATAATGATAAACATGATAACAATGTTAATGATCAAAATAATCATAAGCACAATCATATTCATAATCGTCGTGATAAGACATGAAATATTATAATGATAGTATCAGCAATGCTAAGTATTAAATACGTAGAACACCAGGACCAATTTACAATATACTACAGACTATGTAAGCCCTTCACCGAAGAAGCCGTCTGCAGAAGAACCACAAACATTCCAGGAGCTTCCAGGCCAAGGAGTTCGGGTTCAGGGTTTATAGCCCGACGGCTATAATAGGGTTACCCCTTGTGTTCAAACCCCCTAGTTTCTTTCGAAAGTCTTTAGTCTCTGCCGAGCGCTTTGCTCCTTTTTCTGAACTTCTCTAGTTCCTTTCGAGCAGTTTGCTCCTCGTGTTCAATTACCCGAGCCTCTTTTGAAAACGCCTAATCTCTTTCGAGCCTTTTTGCTCCTTCTTCTCGAAATCTTAGTTCTTCTCGGGCGGTTTGCTCCTTGTATTGAAAATCTCTAATCTGTTTCGAAATTCTCTGGTCTCTGGCGAGCGATTTGCTCTTTCTTTCTTCAGAAATTCTGAAGTTCCTTTCGAACAGTTTGCCCCTTTGTTTCATAATTTTCTAGTCTCTTTCGAAATTCATTTCTGAAATTCTTTAGTTCTGTTCGAGCTGCGCGCGGTTTGTTTTCAGATTCTCTAGTCTCTATCGACATTGTCTAGTCTCTTTCAATCGGCTTGCTGCTTCTTCTGAAATCTCTAGTTCCTTTCGAGCGGTTTGCTCCTTGTTTTCAACTTCTGAAGTCTCTTTCGTAATTCGCTAATCTCTTTCTCTGAAATTCTCTAGTACCTTTCGAGCAGTTAACTCCTTGTTTTCAATTTGTCAAGTCTCGTTCGGTTTTTTCCAGCCTCTTTTGGGCGGTTCGCTCCTTCTTTTGAAAAAAGTCCTTTCGAGCGGTTTGAATCCTTGTTTTCAATTTCTCTAGTTCCTTTCGAGCGGTTTGCTCCGTTTTGTCATATTTTCTAGTCTTTTTCGAAAGTCTCCAGTCTCTTTCGAGCGTTGTGCTCCTTGTTCTGAAAGTCTCTAGTTCCTTTCGAGCGGTTTTCGCCTTCTTTTCACTTTCTCTAGTCTCTTGCAAGCGGTTTGTCCCTTCTTCTGAAACTCTCTAGTTCCTTGCGAGCGGTTTGCTCCTTGTTTTCAAACTCTCAAATCTTTATATGCGGGAACTCTCTAGTCTCTTGTGAACGGTTTTGTTCCTTCTTGTGAAACTCTCTAGTTCCTTTCGAGAGGTTTGCTCCGTGTTTTCAAACTCTCTACTCTTTTTCACAACTCTCTAGTCTCTCGCGAGCGGTTTGCTCCTTCTTCAGAAATTCTCTAGTTCCTTTCCAGCGGTTTGCAACGTGCATTCAAGTTCTCCAGTCTCTTTCGAGCGGTTTGCCTCTTCTTCTCATATTCTTCAGTTCCTCTGGAGCGGTTTGCTCCTCGTTTCTCAATTTTCTTGTCTCTGTCAAAATCCTCTAGTCTCTTTCAAGCGGCTTGCTGCTTCTTCTGAAATTCTCTGGTATCTTTCGAGCGGTTAGCTCCTTGTTTTCACTTTTTTACCAAGTCTGTTTCGACATAAGACATAAGTCTCTTTCGAGCGGTTTACTCCTTCTGTTGAATTTTCTAGTTGCTTCCGAGCGGATTGAAACCTTGTTTTGACATTTTCTAATTTCATTTCACTTTCTGATTCCTTTCGAGCGGTGTGCTGTTTTTTTTCTTTCTCTAGTCTCTTCCCGAGTTGTGTAATATCTGTCGAGCGGTTTGCATCTTCTTCTGAAAATCTCTAGTTCCTTTCGTGCGGTTTGCGCTTTGTTCTCAGTGTCTCAAGTCTCTTTCGAAATTCTATAGTCTCTTTCGACAGGTTTGCTCCTTCTCTTGGCATTATCTAGTTCCTTCCAAACGGTTTGCTCCCTGTTCTCAAAGTCTCTAGACTCTTTCGAGCGCCGTGCTCCTTGTTCTGAAATTCTCTACTTCCTTTCGAGCGGTCTACTTCTTTGTCAGCAGCATCTCTGGTCTTTCCAAGCGGTTTGATCCTTCTTCAGTCCTTGTCGAGCGGTTTGCTCCTTTGGTGCAATACCTCTAGTCTCTTTCAAGCGGTTCGCTCCTTCTTCTGAAGTTCTCTAGTTCCTTTCGAGCGGTAGCGGTTTGCTCCTTGTTTTCCAATCTTCTAGTCTCGATCGGAGTCTCTTTCGAGCATTGTGCTCCTTGTTCTGAAATTCTCTAGTTCGTTTCGAGCGGTTTTCGCCTTCTTTCCTCTTTCTCTAGTCTCTTGCGAGCGGTTTGCCCCTTCTTCTGAAACTCTCTGGTTCCTTCGAACGGTGTGCTCCTTGTTTTCAAACTCTCTAGTCTTAACTCTCTAGTCTCTTACGAGCATTGTGCTCCGTGTTCTAAAATTCTATAGTTCCTTTCGAGCGGTTTGCTCCTTGTTCTCAGCTTCTCAAGTCTCTTTCGAAATTCTCTAGTCTCTTTGGACAGGTTTGCTCCTTCTCTTGGAATTGTCTAGTTCCTTTCGAAAGGTTTGCCCCTGTTCTCAAAGTCTCTAGTCTCTTTCGTGCGCTGTGCTCCTTGTTCTGAAATTCTCTACTTCCTTTCGAGCGGTCTGCTTCTTTGTCAG